TATTACAGGAATCAGAACAATAAAATGGGATTTGGGAGCACTTGTAAAAGTGTGTGTGTGATTATTTCTGTGTAAGAGGCCATCAAGGGGCCACAATATTCATAGAGGGGCCAAGTGTTTGTTCAGCWTCCTTGCCCACAGATTTGGTGAGGGGTTTAAACACGTGTAATTCAAAATTTTATTTTGCATAGATACAATAGCATGGGAGGAAATCCAAAGTTGAAAATAACTTTTTCTGCAGGATTATTCAAACTCTCTTAAGAAAAGAATAAGACTTGTGTAAGTTTGATTTATGAACTGTGCCAATTCAGGGGCTTCAGCCTACCTAGACCACGGCCTATAGGCCACACATTTTATGTTCTTGTCTTCAGATGATCCATGTTTGTGTGACCACACATTACCTTGTGACCATAGTGATATGTTCTCTATCACGTATTCACGTCTTTTCACTGGGTGAATAAATTCACAATTAGAAACGTTACAGGTAAATAAACAAAAAAACAATAGTTTGTGTGTAGCTCCATTGTCAGCCCTTGTAATTACATTTTATTTAACATCTCATTGCAGCTGAAATTTCATCAACAAAGTTGCTAATTATACATTTAAAAGCAAATTCTTTGGCCCATGATGAATTTCCAAACTACACCGAGTTGGTAAAAACAATATAAAAGAAACTCAGCTGTCTTTGTTTTGCTGTTCAGTTTGCTGGCAGCACAATGAATTCTGGGATATCCTCAGTCAAGAAGGATACTCAGGTTTTGTGGACCGCGATCGTCTCTAAGAAGGAGCTGAAAAATTGGGAATCAAAATATTTTCACTGCGGACATCGTGTCCTTCATTCTTACAAGGAGAGGGGCCGAAGCTTATCAGCATACATTTGAAAAGCATGCCTCTCTGATGGTATGYAGGTGCATTAGTACTTATAGCATGGGCAGCTTACACTTCAAGAAAGCCATTATCAACGTGTATACCTGTAGACCTACTTATTTTTGAATTTTCTACCTGGATTACTGAGATGCATCAGGACAATGTGTGCACAGGTTTTAGAACATCATGAGCTCCTATAGACATGCCTTTTTTAGGGAAGGACTTRCATATTTCAGCAAGACAATGTTAAACTATATTATGCATCCATTACTACAAATTTGTAGTGAAAGAATCCAGGTTCTGAACTGGCCTGCCTGCAGTCCAGATTTCTCTCCATCTGGGATTTATTATGTCTCAGAAAAGACTGAAAACTGTTGAGCTGCTAGATCAGACAAAAATGGGACAACATTCCCTTCAAAAATTTCCAGCAGCTCATCTTTTCTGTTTTTTTAGGCATTTACAGACTGTTGTTACAAAAATTGTCGTGCTTCAGTGTGATTTGGCCCTGTCCCACATTTTTAGAGGTAAATTTCTGCCATCCTAAACTGACACAATGTCTTACTTTAAGCATCTAACATGTTTAACATGTTTCATTGTGAATAAAATCTCTGAACATTTTAAAATCATCACATTCTGGTTTTAATTAAGTTTTACACAAAGTGCCACATTTTTCAAGATTTGATTTCTAAAGTATAGATAAAAGCTGCAGCACTTTTAGATGTTCACATTGGAAAAAAACCTTAATTATACAATTTGCCAAATTCCAGACTTATACCAGAAAAGCTAAATGCTAGTCAAGTCTGTCCTCCAAATGCATTTGTTGCATAGATGTTAAGGTTAAATCGTGTTCAAAGTTGACAACTATGTTATAAAGTAAAGACCTAAGAAAGGTATTGTGATTATAATTTAAACCTGAACTAACCATATTCTGTGTTTGCATTGACATGTGATTAATAAACAGTATGAACATGTAGAGTGTCAGCTGCAGGATGGACAGTTAGGAATTCAGAGCACATTCACTAATTCTGGAGGAGTGTTGAAGTGCCTCCCTGTGGCTTTTCCATCCTGTCAGTTTGAATTGAGTGTCAGTCTTCTCTCCTGCAGCTTCTGTAAACATGTTACATGTCAGAGGTTTGTCTCTGACAGGCGCCCACTCACTCTCAGACACATTTTGCTGTCCTGCAGTCACTAAAGCCACATATCATTTTTTTTCTTTCAGCAAGGTTTAGTTGAAAAAAGGTTTTAGCCACGACCTGTGTGTGTTTATATGTCTTTGTATTGGTGTATGGAAACATTTCGACATATATTTACTATGTTTAAGAGGACATTCACCTTATACACACTATGGACACCCCAATTTGTGAGTCAGGGGTTAGGTTTAGGGCTACGGTATGAATGAAGTTAAATTAGGGTTAGGCATGTACCTGTGAGGTTAGATTTATGGTAAGGGGTCAGGGTTAGGCTGTTGAAATTAATGTAAGTCAATGCAAAATCCATACATGTATAGAGAGACGAGTGTGTGTGTGACTGTTTTAGTGGAGGTTGGCTAAAGGGATATTTTAAACAAACAATTAATAACTTACGTTGTAAATAACTTTTGGAATATCCTCAGTTTGGAGAAATCTTTTTTTTCTGGCCAAATTACGGAGCTAACTCCAGTCATCCAGTCATTTGTGTGAACACCACTTAGAAACAAAGATAGAATAGTAGATAAAGATAAAGATAGTTTGTACAAATAAATGATGTAAGATCTGATGTAAGTAATATCACATGTGGTGTGCCTCAGTGTTCTGTACTTGGGTCAAAGCAATTTATTTTGTATGTAAATGATTTGGTTAATGTGTCAGGATTGTTTAAATGTGTTTTATTTGTAGATGACACAACTTTTTTATTTGTTTTGGGGGAAATATAGAACAGCTGTTGAAAAGGATGCTGACAGAA